AATTCGGGCATGAGGTGCGCCAAATATATGCTCATTATCGTGAGCTTTATGTTTGCGGTGAGTTGATCCTGCTACTGATCCGCGTGAGTCACGACTCCGCCGCCATCTTGATTCATTTTCACTCTTTTGCGCGTTCTTTTTTATCACACGGAGCGATTTCCTTATCAGCTTTCAGCGAGTATAGGTTTTTTCGAGTGTGAATCATGTTATAACGCCTACGTAAGTCGCTCACCTGGAGAGAGCGAAGAGAACGAAGAGAAAGAGGTCAAGAACGATACGAAATTTCCGTGCTTTGAATTTACTTTTATTTTATCATTTTTATTTAAGCAAATGAGAAGACGAACTCTTTAGAGTGGGTTATATTAATAAAACACTCATATTATAACTGATATATAGTAATTTCTTTCCTATATTTCTGGACACACTCAGTGCTCTTCGTCACTATGTGGACAGCAGTCCTCAGAAATAAATGATGCTTACCTTTTGTAATTTATTTAATCGATCTATAGCATTCAATTATTAAATTGTTATAATATAAATATTCATCAATCTATTTAAATTTATATAAAGATTATTTTTTATATCTTTTATATTTCATATATTAATCATATATTTTCAAAATTATTTCACCAGCATTCAGTTATCTTAGTTGCCTTCAATGTGTATACATATTACTCATTTCGATAAGATACAAGACGAATTACAATTTAATATCTTGGAAAAACCACAAGCATAAATACGAAAATATTTTGATACCACTGTTAAATTAAAAAATTAAAAATGGGTGATGGATTTAAATGTTTTATATTTTAATTATTTAAATTATTGACATACTGGAGTACAGGGCAATCATTCGAATTTGCAGCTTAAGCAAACAAGATACGAAATAATGAATCAACAAAGGAAAAAGCATTCTAACAGTTCAGTAAATATCTGATAAATATGACACTGACTGATGTAAGTGCACTAAGACAAGATTCTAGAAATTCAAAATTACTTTTCTTTCAAAGCATGAGTACCAAATTTAAGAATTTAAATGTTACTTAATGGTCTGTAGGTATAATGTAGAGCCAAATTCGTTTGAAGAATTTCATTCTCAGTGCATTTTGTTTACAAAACGAGGTTGGGATTATTGTTTTTCTTAGCTGCTCGATTATAATAGAAGGATTGCCAAGAGGTACACACAAAGTCACACTGAATATATCACCTTTTCACATACAATGCCTAAAGACCTTGGACCCCTTCCCTCTCGTAGCTGACCGCTATCCTGCTCATCATGGTGGGTACCACCATCCAGGCGATCTTTGGTGACTTCAGCCTGTTCATCGATGGACACTTCTCCTCGCCCCCGGCGCTCCTTATTGCCATTGGTTTCATCCTCATTGCAGTGGCCACTCTGGGAGCCTATGGAGCTGTCAAGGAGAGTGTGATGGTCATTAATCTGGTAAGTGGAAAAATATTATTTAAGGTCCTTAGAAGTTATGTCTATGATCTTAAATTTTGTAGTACGGAGTGTGCCTGTTCCTGGTCTTTATCCTGGAGGTGTCTGCTGCCATTGCCGCTTCGTGATGCAGTCCCAGGTGCGCGCATGCTGATCCGAACGATGCACCAGGCTCTGGCCGAATACGAGAGTGATCCCTATGTGGCATCTGGGTGGACTTTATGCAATCTGGAGTAAGTTTACTATAATATAATAACGAATATAAATTTATTAATCACTCCTCTTCTGACAGCTTGAGTGCTGCGGAGTCAATCAGCCTGAGATTGGATGGACTACTATTCTCCCAACAAGAACCTTACCCTTGGCTCCGATGATGTCGTTGTGCCCAACTCGTGCTGCGGAAGCCTTGAAGAGGATGTCACCGATCCCACTCACACCCAGGTGACCTGCCATCAGACCTTCAACTATGGTTGCTTCCGCAAGATGAACTTCATTGTGTCGCAAAGCGCCATGCTGATTGCCACCGGAGCACCACTGTAGCCTTTGTCCAGCTCTTGGGTGTTCTCTGCGCCTTCATGTGGCCAAAACGCTGCGCCGGAATAAGTCCATTCGCGAGGCTCGTCGCTGGCAGCTGCAGCAGAGTCTTGGAGTTCTCATATCCGGCGGAAAGATGGGTCCGCCCCAGAACTCGGCGGTCACCGGCTACCAGCAACTGGACAACGGCGAGCAGGGTATCCACGAACCTTACACCTATACACCCCAGAGTCCCAGCGTTAACTAAGCTCTGGTGGAAGTCATATATATATTTATACCTATTAGAACACCCAAAGAGATCCGTTGTAAATGTAACTTTTTAATTTGTTAATCAAAAAACCAAAAATTCAAACGAAATAAAGCGCTGGTCCTTGCTAGCTAGGACTGCTTGCGCAAATCCTGGCGAACTTCTTGAGTAGCCTTAGCTGCTCCACAATACTGGCACTGGAGGTGCCACCAATGCATTGTACTGCTGCACGTTATTAGAGTAATCCGCCACACTGACTATGTCGGACCCAAAGGAGGACAGAAGGCTTGCAGCTCGCCAGCGGCAGATCGGTGATATCCACACCACGCTCCTCGGCCAAGGAAACCACACGGCCAATAACATGATGTGCCTGACGGAAGGGTAACCCTTTCTTTACCAAATAGTAAGCCTGGAATGCATATATATGAGGCATTATAATCATAGAAAGAGGGAAATAGAAAGTAAATCGGGAAGTTATTCTACTCACCCAATCTGTGGCCAACATATCCGTGCTGAGGGCAGCTTCCATCGAATTCTGCTGCACCTGCATTGTCTGCAGGACACCATCGGCTACCTCGAGCACCTGGGAGAGCTTATCAAATGATTGGAAGCAATACTCCTTATCAAATTGCAGGTCCTTGTTGTAGGTGGACGGTGTGCCCTTAATGGTCATCATAATGCCTGTCAGATTTGAGGTGATCACACCCGACATGCCACGAATCAGTTCCAAGCTATCTGGATTCCGTTCTGAGGCATCAGGCTGCTGCCACTGGAGAAGCTATCGGCCAGACGGATGAAGTCGAAACTCCTTGGTGCTGTAGATGATCAGATCTTCGGCCAAACGGGACAAATGGAGGCTGACCAAGGAGCAGCAGTAAATAAAGTCAACTGAAAGAATTGAAAACCGTATGATTATCTGTTATTATTGGGAAGAGCTATTTTTTAAGACTTTTTACAAAGTAAATATTATAAAAATAAAATTAAGTTTACTTAATATTACAACATATTTTTGGAAATACTTAATTTCTCTTCAAACAAATATACCCAAAGACTTCGAGAATATAGGGCACCGAGCCCCTTCTTATCAGACACCCCTTGAAATAATCTCCTCCAGGCGGCACGCTGATAAGAAATCAATTGTGCTAATTGCAGTATCGACGACTTTGAAATGACTTAAGAAAGTGATCTTTTGACATGAGAGATCTTCCCCTAGACTCACCTACAAAGTCGCGATCTCCTACCGCATGCATACTATTGGGTGTCACACCCGAGAAACCCAGGCGCTCAGCCAGCCATAAGCGGTCGATTCCAAGGGGATTCCCCGCCAGAGCTCCGCTGCCCAGAGGCAGGACATTGGCCCGCTCCCGTAGCTCTGCCAGCCGCAGGCCATCTTCTCGCAGGGCAATGCATGGGACAGTAGCCAATGGGAGAACTGTACCGGTCTGGGCGCGCTGAAGGTGCGTGTATCCTGGCATCAGGACGCCCAGGTGATGCTCCGCCTGACGACTGGCTGTTTCTATGACGCGGCTCAGGCGGCCCAGGGTCTCGCGGATAGCCTTGCGCAGCCACAGCTTCATATCCGTGACCACCTGTCGTTGCGACTTCGTCCAGTGTGCAGACGTTGCCCTAGTTCGCCGGTAATCTCCACCAGCAGCCGCTCGTTTACCGTATGCACATCCTCATCTCCTGGCTTAAATTTCACTGTTCCCTCAATCCAGTCGAAGCGCAATAGCTCCAGGCTCTGACCAGCTTATCCGCCTCCGCTGCGTCCAGGTGACCAGCTCGGTGGAGAGCCTCTGCGTAGGCCTTGCTGGCATCCAGATCATCCGCATATAGTCGGGAATCGTATGGCAGACTATTGTTCAGCACCTGCAGAGCTTCGTGTGGCTTCTGGCTGAAGCGACCGCCCCCACATTTGGTAGCAGTTCTTGGGGAGCGCGGGTGGCTGCAGTTTCTGGGACATGATGGATCCGCTCTTCGTAACCGTTTAATGTCTACTGAAATCGCTCTTCTATATTGCGCTGCTCACGAATACAATATTTTACTGTTTTATATAATCGTGTTATCTTAAAAAATAATGTTGCTCGGTTTTTACGAATTGAGAGTGATTAGAACAAGTCAGCTGTGGGACAGACAAAGCAAACAGTGGTTTAAAACATTTTAATTAAGTGTGCCGACTACAGAATACCCGGTTCCACTTTCCCAATAGAATAGAATATAAAGAATAGGGAGACAAATTCTTAATTCTAAAAAGGAATTAAAAAACGCTTCAGAAATAAAATTAAAATATATAAACGGGGCACCAAATGTCAAAATCGCAGTTTGGCCTCAAAGCTTGTAAAGTATGTACAATAAGGGCTATAATTTAAATTTAATGCTAGTCATTTTTAATAAATTGCATTTTAAACAAACGTACTTATATTCTTTTAATATAAGAATTTTACAATTTTATTGTAAATTATATAGAAAGCGTCTCAAACATTAACAATAAATTCAAATTAGTACTTATTATTTAACACTGTACTCTTCTCTCTTTTAGGTTCTCTCCTCGCGATTATTGTATTCTTATTTTTTAATTGACTTGAGCCATAAACAAAACAAAAACAACAAATCCACGGCAAGGCAGAGAGAGATACAGTGCCGCTTATCAGCCAAGATTAAAATCACCAGAGCGTGTGTAGCCTCTGACGCTTATTGCCGCAAAACTTCCAGATAGTTTGAATGTGATGGGCGCGACGTTGACAAGCCAATTATGGGGAGAGATCCTCTAGGAGAGTTTATTTAGTTCACAGCACAGTCGATTAAGAGGCAGGCCCATCACGCAGTAAAAGTCACCATCGATACGGTGGATGAGGGCGCCACCAGGGCCTGAACGCCATAGGCACCTGCTTTATCTCTGAATGGATACAATTTAACTAATATGGAACGTTAATTCGGGGGCTTTATCTTACAATGGATCCTTTGAGTCCACATAGCTCTGAATTTGTTCTGGCAGCAAATCACCAAAGTAAACATCCGCCGTGTCCGTAAATTTACGAATACCATTGGCATGTTTCAGAACAACGCCACTAAATACTCGATTGGAGGTTCCAGACAAACTGTGAAATATAACATATTGATCTAAAGCAGTGGTAAAATTCTTAAATTTAAACCGTACAAAATACTGGAACGTGGGTAAAAATTATATAAAGAATTAATTCGATTCTGGTAATTACTTGGTCAGCATGCGAATAGCATCAGCAGCATCCTTGGGCTTTCCATAGATCTCCTTTCCCAAAGTCACCATCGTATCTGCAGCTATAACTACAAGATTCTTATTATCCCCTGAGGCACTTAATCTGGAGAAGACTTCCTCCGCTTTTCCCATAGCTGTGGCCTCTATATAATCCGAGAATTCCTTGAAGTCATCCAGATTCAGGTTCTCCTCGAAAGTCGAGGGACACAGCTCCGCGTTCAGGCCCTTGAATTGAAAATATAAATCTGAATAAAACAGTCTGTGGACATTATCAGATTGGTTTTACCAGCATTTTCACCAGTTCCTGTCTCCTCGGAGAGCCGCTCGCCAAAACTATCCGGTAGTTGCTCAATAAATGCTTGATTGGCGCCAACATTATTAATTTTGATTTATGTACAAAAATAACAAACATGTGCTGGGTGGGAAAAGAAATGGTAGGACCAACGCGCTTAGTGCGGCTTCTTTTACTGAAATACACTAATTTGTATTCAGTATTATTCACATTTTAAATTCTTGACACTGTCTGCGATTTTTGTAAAATAGCAACCCCAATGTTCTCACTTTGTGATGTAAAAAATAACATTTTTTTAAGAATTGTTAAAAGATTTTTTAAAGTAAGGGTAAAAAGGTAAATTTTGCTCTTTAAACAGTTTGTTTGTGTTTCGCCCGCCAATCAGCTGTTCGTACAAACCCGACGGTATTTTTTACAAAGCTGGCGTTTTTCGGTATTTATTGTTCATTTCCCTGCGGTCTTACTAGTGGTATCCTAAAAACAAGACAATTGTGCAATTTCTTCGGAAAATCTAAACAATTAAATAAAAGAGCGCGCAACTTTGTTGTTGCGGGAGAGAGGACGCGGGAGAGAGTTTGAGAAAGCGGATTCAAATATATTCATCGCCGCAGAATGCAGCCTGCCGCCGTTGTGCTGTTGCATAAATTCCGTTAGTAATTTTAACTATTTCTACCGCCTCTATTGTTTTTGTGGCCGCTATTGTGTAGTTTTGCGCGTGTGCAGTGTGGGTGTCTGTGTGTCTATATTAGCTTAGTGATATTTATATTCCTAATTACAAACGTTGTGTCCGGCGGTCGTCGTCGCGAATTAAAAGTTTTAGTTTGCCATCGGCGGGCAGAGCTCTTAGTCGTCAATATTACATCAAACTAACGGTGCTTACGTGCCACACGACGCACACTAACACACAACGCCGCCTTCACCTTGAAGTGCCTGTCAAATTGTTAGAATCACTTCCTATTTATTTGTCGTTATTTTGAACGGAACTTCTTACACCGCGAGAGCGAAAAATAGTGGTGTCAAGGTAGCCTGCATACAGTTACGTTCAAAATCATAGTTTGTGGCCATTTCTAGAGAACAACATTTGATGTGATCTATAAAT